TCAATGAAAGTAACTAATTCTTATTAGTAATGGTTAGTAAAGTGAAAATGGGAGTGGCAAATACCCAATACCAGATGCTTAGTAATTTATCTGCTTAACATAATGTATTCGAAATATCACAGTTTAAATTAAGCTAAAGCTAATGTCAGAATACCCTGTACTGCGTTTTAAATAAAAGTAAACCGGAAATTGTTTTGAATTGACTGATTTAAAAATACCCTATAATCGACATGAAACAAGGTTAGCTCATTTAATTTAATAATGTGTTAATAAAATTGATTGCTTGAACATTTTGTAACACAGACCCTGTTACAAACCGACTCTAACTTCAATATACCCTATGCACGTAGGGAAGCTTAGTGCTTATAAAAAATGAGTTAAGCCACATAGTTTATCTGTTTTGCCTTTGTTTAAACGATAACTAACTAAAGTTTAAGGCCTCCTCACCGCTCCCTTTGGCTGCTTTATGCATGCGTCTCTAATGAATGCATTCATAAGGCAGACTCCTTGTCCAACCTATTTTTTTTTCTTTTGCGGTCCTTTATGCTCCGGTTGTATGTGTTCCTTTTTTCGTTTCTGTCAACTTTTGTCGATTTTTAACCCTCTTAAGTGCTTAACAAGTCCCAAATTAAAAAGTCGCAGCGTCTCCCGAGATTATGGCCAGCAAAAGGGAAAATGAAATTAAAAATGTTTATATAATAAATGCTCTGCTGGTCAATGGTAATTTTTAATTGTTGACGTTTACCTCTGCTACCTCTGCTCTCGTTGACTTTAATTAAAAAAGGAAATTGTAGCGTGCAAAAAAATTTTCAAATAAAAAAAAACAAATCTGTCTGTCCAGTCATCAAATCGCGCATTCCGCAAACCTCGAACTTCGACTCGGACTAAGGCAAAAAAGGTTTTTTGCGTTGCCAAGGGCGAATTCTTTGCTGAAAGTTTTTCCGCAGCAGCAGCAGCAGCTGGAAAATGTCAGAATGCAGAGAAATGTAATGAAAAAGTTTTGCTATGCAGATATGGGCCTCCACGCTGAGGTTGCGCTAATTGGCAACTGTGTCAGCGACTGTTGCTCCCCGCCGCCAGGGGGCGCTGTTTATATAGTGCAAGCTCATCGCCTGACTCGGCGAATTTGACTGCGCTGGCGATGGTGACATCACAAGCAACGACTGCTCGCATGCCACACACGAACATTCTTGACTCTGGGCACAGAATTTATCAACTCGCGGGCATAAACAATAATAATTTGCCAGCATTTGTTGTAGCGGCTCGCGCGTTTGTCCGTAATTTCCGCAATTAAAAAAACATTTACTCGCATTTGATGTGTGCTTTTGACTTTTTTCTGTTTATTATTTCTCAGTTTGTGTTGTTGTTTTGTTTTTCGGTTTTTGCTTTTCACCTTTTTGCCAAGTGCATTCGCATTTTTTACCAGCTGCCGCCGCATGACATGCAAGTTTGACAAGCGCTCAAGCAAACGACCACCGACGACGACGACAGCTATGAAGGCTCTGTCGTGCAACTAAAGGTTACAGCGAATGCAAATTATGAATATAATTGTTTTCTTAGCTCTTGCCACTCTGCGAACGGCATGTGCAATAAATTAGCTATTTAGTGGATCACTTGATTGCTGTGATCAATGAGTGAAGCGAAAGTGTGAAGGGAATATGGAATTGAATAGAAGAAGTCTCCAAATAGGCTATAGTCACGGAAGTTATCTCTTCATCGATGCTAAATTTCTTACCAGCCAGCATTCTCTTGAGGTATGAGAACACGATGAAGTCACTAACGGGCAGGTCTGGAGAATACGGCGAATGCGGAAGCCATACGAAAGAAAGCCTCTTTGAGGTGTCCACTGCGTCGATCTCGGTTCTCATTTTGTCCTCATTTTATTTCCCTGGTTCCGAAAAATGCTTATCAAACCAAGCCTATACATATTTATGAGAGTTTACTGTACTGTGATGCAGCTTATTAATATAAATAAATATATTCTTTATATATCAGAGTACTTCAAAATGTTTATTTGAAGCTTAAAAGAAGAATCTAAGCTGCATTGGCTCTGTTGCTGTGTTGATGAGGGCATTCCCTTAACTTTAAAACTGTTATAAGCAATACATCCACAAATGTGTGTTTTATTGAAGACGACGCTTAGAAAATACTTCTTCCTCTGAAATTATATACAGTCTTTAAAATCTGTTTCTTCTCTCAGTTTTAATTCTATTATCATAAAATTTTCAATTGATCCATTTGTCTATTGCAGTAAATATGCATAAATTAAACAATTTGCACCCCTTTCTATACTAAGCGAGTTCTAATTTTTATCTCTTTGAGTTTTTTCATGTTTGTTTATTTTTTTTACTTTTAGATAATAATAATTAGTTTGCGACTTCAACGAATTTCATAAAATGTTGTAGTAATTATTTTAATGGTTTCCTTTAAACGTTGCGCTGTGCAATCGCTCACACACACACAATAATAGTAGTGTAATTGTGTGCACATGGCGGAGTTGGTGTGCGGGGGAGGGAGGGAGAGAGAGAGAGAGGGAAAAATGGAATAAAATCCATTATGGAGCAAGAAGTAAAATGGTTAAAATGGTGGCCTAATCGCAATTTAATTACAATACGCTTTCATATCAAAAAGCATTAATGCCAGCCAAACAGGCAGTCGAGTGAGTAGCTGACCGGTAGTCGACCACTAGTTAGGCGTGCGGGGAGGGCGTGGCACGTGAGTTGCGCCACATTCGGCGCCCCGGCCACAGCTTAGTTGAGTGCGTATCGCTACTCCTGTTCATATTAATTGTTTCACCTTAATTATATTTCTCGTAGTTGATACGCAGAGCCCGCCCCTACGCCGCACAAAGTGCCCCATTGCCCCAACCCCAGCGACAGCCCCATCTTGTGGCTTGCTCAAAGCGCCATTAATGCGTTTATAATAATTTTTCAGTACTCAATTTTGAGCGCATTGTAAACTGGGCGCCGCACACCATCAAACAACAAAAAACCTATACATATATATTTATACACATATGTACATATGTGTGTATATATATGTATATACGTATTTGGTTTTCTTGGCTTTTGAGTGATGGCCGCATGAAATGTGCAAAGGCATCATTAAAAACTAATTTCAAGCAGGCAAGAGGTGAGCGCGCCCGCTCTTAAATTGCCAGTGACCAAACGATATATAGCCCCGATTCCCGATCCTCCTCACCACTCTCGCAGCGCTACAGTCTAACCGTTCCCAGACGTCACCGACTTGTGAGCCATGAAGGTGTTTTTATCAATTAAAATAATCATTTATTTGCGTTGCATGAGTCGGCCATGCAGTCGGGTCTGCCAAGGGGTCGGGGCCGCGCGCTGCTAATTAGCTCAAGTCTTAGCTGTGGGCAAACTGTATTGCGAATGAGAACATAATATCAGAAAAATATCATTATTCAAATATATTTTTGAGGATAACTGAATATCCCTTTTATCAGTTCGGAAATCTAAGCCTACGCTTAAAGCTGCTTCTGCGCTGTGCTCGACTCTTTCTAAGGCGTTTAATCCTCGTCTAATACATAGCTGAATTTGAGCCAAGTCGTCAGCTCTAGCAGCGTCTGGCCAAGAGAAGGGTAACAAGAAAAAAACACGCACGCTTTTTACCACAAATCTCTCAAGTTTTTTCCTCGCTTTTTTTTGCCGCTCGTCTAACTGATGATGATTAAATGCGAACGCCTTGGGTTATAGACATGGCATCAGTTGTGTCATTTAAAAGAAGGTAGCAGCCTCCGCCTCCCTCTCTCTCAGCAGCTCGGACTGCCTGCGGCCGCCATGGATCTGCCCCCCTCTTGTGCTATGAATCGGATTCGCGCGCATTAATGGCCGACGCATAAAAAGAGCTTATGATGTAATGACCCCCTAGCCAGGGAGGGAGAGAGCGAGAAAGAGTGAGAGAGGGAGGAAGGGGAGTAGAAAAACGCATTGAGCAAGACAAATGCTGAAGATGTTATTAAAAAATAGTTAAGCAAGTTGAAACGAGTCGAGCCGAGCCGAGTCGGGTTCGAGTCGAGACGCCCCCGTTAGAGGTCTTGAGAGTTCTTCAGGTGATTTTCCACATCCCAGCCATTTCCCTTTCCGCTGACCAGATCGAGGGTGTAGCCAAGCGCCACCCAAAGCTCACACGCTAGCTGACCATTTGCCAGCGGTAGGCATTAGGGGGAGAGCGGAGCTAGGGACTGGGAGTGGGGGGCTGGGGCAATTGACAATTATATTAGTTCGTATTATTTTTGACATATTTTGTGCGGCATTTGTTATGCTTTGCTTTCATTTTTTTGTTTGTTCTGCGTTTTTTTGTCATTACGAAAATTATAATTATAGTAAGTGTCATTAGGCGCTTAGCTGGTTTTTGGGGCGCAGTAATTATTCCAAATTGTTTTACAGTTACTCGACTACCGTCGACTGTTTTGCAGTGAGTCCGCCGCAAACCCGTGAAACCCGCAGACCTTTTTGTAATTAGTTAGACTGCTCCCCCATAGCCCGACAGCCCGACAGCCCGACAGTCCGACAGCTCGGCTGCCCAACTGCAACTGCCCCCTGTCCGTTTGTCCATGAAATCTCTCTTTCTCAACCTTAATCCAAAAGAGCTGCCGAACCCCTTCGCTGTCCCCTATCGGTGCCTCTTGGGTTTCTTTTTGACAAGTACAAATATCTGAATTCGGTAAGGTCGTCTTTTAATCAGGCTCGCCCTACGCTGCGTGCGTCTCGCCTCATGTGGTTTCCAGGCCTGAGATTGTGCTTGGGTCTAGAACAAAGCCCGCAGCTACGGATACCTTCGCAGATACCTTCACTGATACTGATACACACATGTTGATTGTGCCTGCGTTTCTGATCACTCTTTGAAGTTGTTGTTATTGGTGTTGTTGTTGTTGGTGTATGCACTTTTAGTTACCGTTGTTGTTGTTGGAATTTGTATCATTGTGCATTGTGCGTTGATTTTAATTGTGAACTTTTTGTCTTTCTCGCAACCAACAGAGCGCAAACGCGGCCGCCAGACCTATACACGCTACCAGACGCTGGAGCTGGAGAAGGAGTTCCATTTCAACCGCTACTTGACGCGCCGACGACGCATCGAAATCGCGCACGCTCTCTGCCTGACCGAGCGCCAGATCAAGATCTGGTTCCAGAACCGACGCATGAAGTGGAAGAAGGAGAACAAGACGAAGGGCGAGCCCGGCTCCGGCGGCGAGGGAGACGAGATAACGCCACCCAACAGCCCCCAGTAGATGCAACGCCTCGAGCGAGAATATAGCGGGGTAGACGTTCATGGTGGAGTAGTCCAAATCCAAGTCGAAGTCCAACTCCAGGGCCAAGGCCAAGTCCATGTTGAAGGAGGAACAGCGAAGCCAGCGCAAAACTAAATGAAATTTCAAGCTAAATACAATTTACAATTTATGAATTTGTTTTGAACTATCCAAGAGAGGACTATCTGCGGCGTTGCTAGAGTGCAGCGAAACAACAGTGAACACTGAACACTGAACACTGAACAATACACAACAACACTAAACTACAAAACACTACAACTTAGTTAATTGTTATTATTTTCTTTTTATTATTTAATTTTTACAAAATGCAAATGGAGAAAGCGTAATAAGTTAAATAAAAATACAATTAAAGCGTAAAACTCAACAAAACCAACTCATGTGACCTCAGATTAAATAAGCTATATATATATATGTGTATATATATGTATATGTAGATATGCACATGCATATGCATATACATGGATATACTATGCGTAATAACTAATATAATACGATATAATAATAACTAAAACCTTATATATGAAACATATATACGAGCGAATACTATATACACACAATAACATTAGATCTACGCGTCCTAAGTGTAAAGCATACTTTAATACATAATATATATATATGATTAATTTATATAGTGTAATACTGTATACCACACATAAACCTATATACGTATACATACGTACTATAACATTAACTAAACTCAATGTTTGTAGAAACTTTTAGCGCAAAATAAACTCACAACAGCAACAACAACAACAATTACTGAACTGCAGCAGTGTGTTTGATGGATGAAGCGACAGTGACAGTGAGAGTGAGAGTGAAAGTGAAAGTGAGGGAGCCGAATACTAAGAATCTAATCCTAATCCTTAGCCTAGCAGGATTAGACAGACAAAGAGATACCAAAATCGTGGAGCAAGCAGATAATACTAATAGAAAATAAACCAAAAGCAAATCGAACAAGTCGAACATTGGCAAACTAAACTAAATAAAACTCGAGAACCGTTTCGGCCAACCGAATCGAAAGATCTTTCACTGAAACTCGCTTTGAATCAGCATTCAAAGTTTGTTGAAATTGTTGTATCGTCTCGTTGTTTTCCCTAAATACATTTATAATTTCTTGTGCAATTTTTCCTTTTTTAATCAATTTTAGTTTCGATTTCGAAATGTTTGTAAACAAGTTTCTTAAATTACGAAAATTGCAAGCACTTGAATTAGTTCGTAAAGGATATAAAGTATACCGACAAAAACCAATTGGCAACATTATAAAAAAAAAACAAAAATAAAAATACTATATATATTGTTAAAATGTACACGCTGTTTTCAAAAATACTTAAGTATAACGAAACGAATGAAATAATCCATGTAAAGTAGAGAAATATAAAAACAAAACACACGAAAAACTAACGAAAATAATAAAAATTAATATATATATATATATATATATATATGTATATGCATATATTGAGAATGCATTTCTGAATGCAGGCGGCATTGGGGCCGCCCTTCTATTATACCTATAACAACTCTATATATATTTATATATATATATGTATATATATAGTGAATGTATGTACGTAACTCAACTAAATTTCTACGCTCCTCGCACAGCAGCAGCAGCAGCGTGAAGCGAGAAATGTAGAAATCCATATACCAAAGTTATAAAGAAAATATAAAAGTAAAGATAATGAAGAAGAACATCATTATATATGTTTATATGTAGATATATATATATATATATATGCATATGTGTATTTAAACGCAATATTATGCGTGTAACTTGTAGAGTATGTTTCGTTCTGTAAAACCCCCTCTCCTATCCCAGCTGTAGCCAGGCAATAGCAATAGCTAAAAGATACGTAAGATCCCAAATACTACCCAATAGAGACAACATTTGTGATTCCAATAGAAAGTCGAGTAGAGAAATGTCAGGCAGACCAGCGGCCAAGTGTGCTATTCAGAAGGATTGCATCCACAGATTGGCGAACAATTTCAACTCAATCCAGATACGTAACTTTCGGCCTCATTCTGTAAGAAACTAAGCGATTAAGTTTCACAAAAATTATAAAAAAAAAAACAAAATTTATTGTAGAAATTCACAAGAAAACAAAATGCACATGCGATCCACGTACACATGCAAACAAAACGCAAATAAATATATATTTATACATATGTATGTGTGTATGTACTCAGAAGAAACACACACACACTTACATTTCACAGCGAAATTTGAATGTGGCAGAAAAGCTAAATAATTTGTTGTAAATAAACCTTAAATTTAGTGTAAACAAGAAGTCGATGAGGAGAAGAATTGCAGAATGCAAGAATCTAAAAAGAAACAAAAACAAACAGCAGAAAATGCATAAAAATTATAATTAAATTACAAATGAGATTTTGTTTTTATTTGTAATATTTATAATAAAATATAGTATTTAAAAATTTAACAACTGCCTTTTTCTCTGGGTTGGCTCAGTATTTGTCTTGCAGCATGGATCCTCAACTCTGCGAGCTCAGACTTGCTTAGACCCAAACCTGGTGCGTATTTAGTTAATTTTCATAAACAAAAAAAGCAAATCTTTAACTTGTCTCTATTTTGCAGCTATTCATCTCCAGGTCGGATTCAGTGTCAGAGGTAAGCAAATGCTGTTGCCTGTCAGATTCATGTGAATAACATGTTTGGCTCTTTGGCCGCCTTGCAGAGACCACAAAACGCGCCATTTGGAAAACGATCTTATTAATCTGACATCATAATAAGCCATTAATCAAACGGCATTAACAAAACACTGACCAATGGCCACCTGAAACTGAGGCCAGGCCCAGACACGACTCACGGATCAACATTCGCCAGCAGCAGCGATTCCGATTCCGATTCATGCGATTGCGACTGCGACTGCGACTGCATCGACGGCACATGACACCAAAGCCAGGCGACGCAGGAGGAGCCAGAGGAGATGGAGGAGCAGAAGGAATGGGGAGTTGGAGGCGTACTCGATCTCTGGCAGCAGCTTAAACAAATTGAATTCGCATTGTTCGCATAATCGCTGGCCATTTGTAAGCGGGGCACAGAATGTGCTCACGTTTATGTCACAAAATCAAATTAATAATTTGTGCCGTATTTTTCTCTGAATTGAGACGCAGCAAGCAAAATATTCTCAACAATTCGAGCGTCTGGCACTTGCAGCAGGCGCGCGAGAAAAAGGCCTCGAATGTACAAATCGTTTTTCCGCAAATGCTTGAAAATGTCAACATTTGATTGCACCACTTGCACCACTAGCCCCCTTTGACTGTTGGCTGTTGGCCGCGCCTGAATGGCTGCTTGAAGTACATTTCACATGTGTCCCAAAATGATGGCGCTGCACGTATTCCTAGTACCTAGAGATCCACTCGAAATAGTTCTTGAGCAGCTGCCAACCAAAGTTCGACAGGCAACGCGGATGCGTGGATGCGTCCCTTAGCTCTGGGTGGGACGGGTGCAAGATTTTCTGCAACAGTGAATCAAGTTTGAGTTGTTGTTCTTGTTGGCTTGTTTGCTTTTCGGTCTGTTGAAATTAATTAAAAACGTTCTTGTTTGCCCAAACGAAGTACCTCAAATAGAATTTTAATTGAATTCGTTACCTAAGCGAATGCTAAATCTTAATCTGTTGGGTGTGATGTTCAGCTTTAATGCTATATTACTCAGATCTATATATATATGAATATATATGTATAAGCAGCTGAACGATAATATTTATCTGCATTTATTAATTGAGTGCAAATTGCCCAAAATATGAATGTGATGCGATTCAATCTTAAACGAAATCATTTACGATATTACAATTATAGCAAGCAAAACTAGTACACTGAGCGAAATAAATTATACAAAATTACGAACACATATATTTAGAATGAACTTAAGTTTTTGTAACTGGATGTACATAGCATTAATATATAGAATTTGTAGAATCTAAGCACATCTAATCTAAATCTCTTATACGTTGCTCTTAGAATCTTTCTTTTATTTATTATTCTCTTGGATTTATTTTTTTGTATGCTTCGCAAACATATAGATTATAGAATTTTAAATATAAACTATAGAATTTAAAATTGTTTATGAACATCTTATATCGAAATCTAATAGAGAATTAATTTAACTGATTTTAATGTAACTCATGATATTTTTGCCATCTTTATAAGTTAACTATCATTAATATTATTAATATTATATTATTCTTATTATTATATTATATTATTATTATTATTATTTATATTATAAGAATAAATGCATTAAATTTGACTACATTTAAGAGAGAAAAACTGATCAGAAACTTATTCAACGAAATTATAGTGCAATACACTTTTATCTATAAGAAACAAATGTCGACTGAAGATAAGTTATGCAGAAATTTGATTAATGTAAGTAATGATAAAAATATTATTAAACAAATAATATAAGCAAGTATACTCAGACATATATGAACACATATCCAAAGCCGTCGCCATTTCAGATAGATTAGGCCCGAATGAGTTTGAGAATGTCTAAAATATTGAAGTTATACGCCAGTTGGAGACAAGATATTTGGAAAGAATCATTAATAATCGATTCTATGGAATTGAGACAACACTCGGCGGAACCTGAATAAATCATTAATTACGTACAAATTGAAATAGGCAGAAACATGAACGCCATAACGAGAAACAAAGCAAGATGTCAGAAATCCACTCGAGGTACTCGTAATGATGAGGCCTAGACAAGTGCAAGTCCATTCCCTCGCCCTCTGCCTCTGCCGGTTCACACAATCCATCAAACGATCGACGATCCATCAAGGTGATATCGAGACTGCGCAGCGAAGGCAAATGATAAATTTAAAATGGCCAAGACATAAATCATTGAATACGATAATTAGCAGATGCAGACGAAACCCGAAGAGAAAAAAGCGCCGAAAAACAACTCAAATTGAGTTGTCTATTCTATCAGAGAGATATGAAAGGGAAGAGGGAGCGAGAAGTATGTGTAGAGCATTTGGCAATGCAATTGACCCGGTTAACAGCGAAATGGCAATCACTTGAAAATTGCACTAGTCGCTTGAGTCTTCGTATCCTTGATGGCAATCACACAAATGAGGCTCTAATAGAATATTAACTCCCGAAGAGCATCGATGGTAGCCGCTGCCACTGCCGCTGCCTCAGCCGCAGCAGGTAAACCTCAGTTTGCGTCGAACCAGAGAACTTGTTCTGGACCTCTTCGAATAGCCATACAACAGTTATGAGAGAATGCTCAAAATCCGGTTTGAGCTGAAGTTCGAAAAACCCACACACATCTATGCGAATCGATATCGAAATTCGAAGATCTCGCCGGCACCAATACCAATGCATTCGGCACCAACACACTCACAACATGTGAGAG